GACCCTGTATAGGGTTTCCGAGGCTATAAATCTTACTAGGAGCAAAAAGTCTCTTCTTTTTCCCAGGGAGCAACTGGTAGATTCGAACTACTGACCTTGTGGTTATCAATCCAGTTCACAATCCAGCACTACTAGGGCTACTTACAATCAGCATAAAAAATTATTAAATTCCAGGCAAAGTATCTTGGAAACATTAAATATAATATAATATGATTCCTTGTCCTCAAGGAGCTTGGAATCTCTCAAATCAATATTGGATAAGTGCTATGAAAGAGAATACTAGAAGAGTGTTTACCTGTGCTTTATTGACTATGAAAAGTCTTCTGACTATAGATAATGACAAGCTATGGGCAATATTGTGGAGAATGAATATTCTGGAACACACTTACTTGTTCTCATGAGGAATCTGTACATGAACTAAGAGAACAGAACAAGGGGTCACTGAATGGTTTAAAATCAGGAAAGGTTTGTACCAGGGTAGTATTCTTTTACCATATTTATTCAATCTGTATGTTGAGCAAATAATTTGAAAAACTGGATTATATGAAGAAGAAAGCGGCATCAGGATTGGAGGAAGACTCATTAACAACCTGCGATATGTAGAAAAATACAACCTTTCTTGCCTAAAGTGAAGAGGACTTAAAATTCGTACTGATGTGCATCAATGTAAAGAAACAAACATCCTCACCATTGTTGCAATAAGTAAGACTGTGCCAAATTAAGAAAAGATTGAAGTAGTCAGACTTCATTTTGCTTGGATCCACCATCATCCCTCATGGAAGCAGCAGTCAAGAGCTCAAATAATATATTGCATTAGGCAAATTTGCTGCAGAAGACCTCTTTAAAGTGTTCAAAAGCAAAGATGTCAGTTTGAGGATTAAAGTGCCCCTGACCCAAACCATGATATTTTCAGTGGCCTCATATGCATGTGAAACTTGATAAGTGAATAAGAAGTCTAGAAGAAGTAATGCATTTGGGTTGTGGTATTTGGGAAGAATATTAAAGGTACTAGCTGAATAAACAAATCTGTGTTTGAAGAAGTACAACTAGTATGCTCCTTAGAAGCCAGTATGACCAGACTTGATCTCTCATACTTTGGACATATTATCAGGAAGGACCAGTCCCTGGAAAAGGATATCATACTTGGTAGAATAGAGGGTCAGCAAAAAAGAGGTCAACCCAGTGAGACTGATTCACACAGTAGCAGCAACAATGGGTTTAATTGTAGCAACAATTGTGAGGATGGTGTAGGTCTGAGTGGTTTGTTCTGTTGAACATAGAGTTGCTATGGCTCAGAAGTGAGTTGATGGTACCTGATAACAATTGAAAGAGATAGCACAAGGTACACTTGGTGCATTTGTAATATACCGGCTTCCAAATCTGGTGAGGTTTTTGGAACATGAAGACTAGTAAGATGAGTTGTGAAGGCCAAGTGAGAGTTGTATTGAATTTTAAATGAGTTACTTAAGGGGTAATTTCTAGCTATGTTTGGAGATCACTCTGAAATGGTTTCATAGTGAACAATGAGAATATATACATATAATTTTATAACATCCTGATTGATCTTATTTTTTTTTCTCATACAGTTATTAAACAGTGAGGAAGAGAAGTCTTACCCCAGATAAAATTTCGTGTGAATGAGTCTTGTAGGATTTTGTTTAGAAAACATGTGAATGTAATAGCTTTGCAGTTGTTTTTTAATGTAGAATGAAAAATATAGCTTCAGATGATAAATATAATAGTTTTTATTTTTTCATGTATAATGAAATATATTGTTTGGAATGATAAATATAATAGTTTTATGAATTTCCTCAAGGTTGGAGGCATTACTTTGATTTTTAATAACAAATTATACTCTGCAATAGTTATTGTACAGGAGAAAAATCTAAAGGTCATTTTATATATCTGTTAATAGATTGCTATGAGATTTTTTTTAAATGCCAATATTTCCCACTTATAAAATAATACACATCTTATTATAGTACTTTATGGAAAAAAAAATAAAACTGGTTTATAGCAAAAGACTTGTAGAAGCATTACATAAAGTTATGACTCAAATGTTCATCATAAAAATTTAAAAGTATGTTTGAGTAAAAATAGATGTAACTTTTTAATTAAAGGAAAGTAAAGTGTTGCGGACAGTTCCTCTACTAGCAGCATGCCTCCCCCAGGAAAAGTGTAAAGTCAAGATTGGTCGTCGCTTCAGTGAAGAAAGGTAAATTTAATTCTTAGAGCAATTTAAAAAAACTGTTTTCCACTTGGATTTTTATAAAGTTTTCCTTCAATTTAGTCATTCAGTTAATATATAGCTCATAGAAGTGGTCAGAATTCTAAAGTTCTGCTCTCCCGTTTCTCCGCAGCAAAAATAATATAAGATAAACATAATGAAATGGAATACACATAGAAATGATAGCATTATCTCAATTCCATAGCAACACTTGTTGAACCTAACAATCAAACTTCTTGTTTATTTCATTTTTGTAAAAAGTGCATTCATTATGGTAAAATATTTTAATAATATTCAGCCAGTTTTGTCTTTGATGCCTAATATGCTGTTTGTTGTTAAATACCATGGAGTCAGTTCTGACTCATAGTGACCCTGCACAGGGTTTCCGAGGCTGTAAATCTTTATGGGAGCAGAACGCCTCATCTTTCTCCCACGGAACCGCTGGTAGTTTCGAACTGCTGACCTTGAGGTTGGCAGCCCGACTCGTAACCACTACACTACCAGAGCTCCTTAATATGCTGTTTACTTGTACATTAATATTGGCTGATAGATTTTTAGTTAAAACAGATAGAGATTTGATTTATTGTTAGCCTGACAATTAAATTATTAACTAGGCTTTTGTTAGAGTACTTATGTAGCCACAGGGGGAGATATTGCTTTTGGTGTTTTGAGGTAGAGAGAATAGACAGTTGTTGTGCAGTTGGTTTTGAGTCATGGAAACACTATGCACAACAGAATGAAACACTGCTCAGTCCTGCACCAGCCTCACGGCCGTTGTTGTTTTTGAGCCCATTGGTGCTCCACTGCATCAGTCCTTCTTGCTGGGGGTTTTCCTCTTTTTCGATGACCCTCCGCTTTACCAACCATAATGTCGAACAGGGACTGTTCCCTTCTGACAATGTGTCTGAAGTACAAGAGACAAAGACTTCCACTCTCACTTCTGAGGAACACTTTGGCTGTACTTATCCAAAGAAGATTTGTTTGTACTTCTGGCAGTCCATGGTACTTTCAATATTCTTCTCAAACACCACAACTCAAATGCATCAATTCTTCTACAGTCTACCTTATTCATTGTCAAATTTTCACATGCATATGAGGAGCTCTGGTAGCGTAGTGGTTACGAATCGGGCTGCGAACCTTAAGGTCAGCGGTTCGAAACTACCAGCTGCTCTGCGGGAGAAAGATGAGGCTTTCTACTCCCGTAAAGATTTACACCCTCGGAAACCCTGTACAGGGTCGCTATGGGTCAGAACCGACTTGACGGCACATAACAACAACAACAACAATGAGACAATTGAAAATACCATGGTTTGGATCAGCCACACCTTAGTCCTCAAACTGATATCTTTGTTCCTGAACACTTTAAATATCTTTCTGTTATTCTTTGCTTTCATTCAATATCTGTCTGTTGTCCGCAGTGTTCCTTGCCCTCTTCAGAATCTGGCTTAAATTTCTCATAGTTCCCTATTATTGTACTGTTGCTACCATTTTTCATTATCTTCATCAACATTTTACTTTCATGTGATATTAATGATAATTGTTGTGTGATTTTTGCGTTCCATTGGGTCATCTCTCGTTGGAATGGGCACAAAAATGCATGTCTACCAATCATGTTGCTAGGTAGTTGGCCTTTACATTTTTTCTCATTGATGAATGAGCGCTTTCAGTGCTGCACCAGTTTGTTAAAATGTTTCAAATTTTATTCCATCAATTCCTGGAGTTCATATTTTTATGTTGATAATTATGTCTTCTTTCTTGTTTTTCTTGGTTAGCTTGACTGGAGTTTTTGTCAATTTTATGGATATCTTCAAAGAACCAGGTGTTTATTTCATTGGTTTTTCTCTGTTGATTTCCTGTTTTCATTTTTATTGGTTTCTGCTCTAGTTTTTAAAAATATTAAAAAATTTATTTCCTTTCATTGCTTGCTTTGGCCTTTAATTGCTGTTATTTCTCTAGATCTTAAGGGGAACACTTAGGATAGTTATTTTAAATGGTTCTTTTTAAATATATGCTAAGGGTAAACTTAGATCATTGGTAAAAACTGGATATGATCGTTAATGCAGGAGAATAGTGTAGATTGGGAAGCCTATGGAACAGTGACAGGGTTGTGCTATTGAATGAGCAGAGATTACATAGCATTTTGAGCGTTTACATTTTATTTACCTATGAATTAATTAGTATACCTATTGAGTAGGAAATTCAATAAATATAATAAAACTATTATTTCCTCAAGCTAGTAAATATCTTTTTTTTTCTTTTTTCTTTTAGGGATCCTGAACTTTCAGCTGTTTGCCGAAAACCTTGTACATTAATACTATATCCAGGGGCTGAAGCTGCTAATTTGGAAGAAGTTATATTAGATTCTCCTATTTATCCTTCCACAATTATCATCATTGATGGTACATGGAGCCAGGCTAAGGATATTTTCTATAAGAATTCCTTGTTCCGACTTCCCAAACAGGTAAACTAGTTGTTTAATAGAGAATAAATTAAAACGTATACTTACATATATTATGTTGTGGTTGTGTGCCACGGACTCGGTTCTGACACATAGCGACCCTGTACAGGGTTTCCAAGACTGTAAATCTTTATGGAAGCAGAGCACCTCATCTTTCTCCCCTGGAACAGCTGGTAGTTTTGAACTGCTACCCTTGCGGTTAGCAGACCAATTCGTAACCACTACGATACCAGAGCTCCTTTATATATATATCATGTATATATTTACCATGAGGTAATACACAAGCATTTTTATATATGTATATACATATATATATTTTATATTTGCTGCTATTTAGATATATGTATGTATGTATGAGGGGTTTTTATAAAGTTCATGCAAAAATTGTGTCATCTTTTAATTCCATGTTTCCATATTCATTTTGAAGCATCTCATACATAGATATAAAAAATTTCACATTTGTCAGTTCTTACTAGTTCCTACTGCCAAATTTCACCATACTTTAGGCAACTTTTTGAAGTTAAATCTCCAGGCATGTATTTGACAAGTTCTGCAAAAGCAAAGCATTTGGGATAAAAATACTATCATGAATCTAGAAAGGTGATTGTTTCTAATAGTATTTATAAAGAATCCAAAATTATTGCTGTTTCTTTTCTTTTTTTTAAAGGTTTTTATTGTGGATTGAGTGAAAGTTTATAGGGCAGATCAGCAGTTTTACATTCAACAAATCCTACACCTTGTTTCATTACAATGATTATAATCCATCCCCTCCATGTACCATCAGTTAATAATATTTCTCTCTATTCACTTTAGTTCTTTCTTTAAACACTCAGGCATATATAATAATTTACACCACCAAAGGGCACATTCTGAAAGTCTGCCTGCTGGCTGCCATCTTTTAATCCCTCTCTTCCCATGAATCTAGAATCCTCATCAGCTCTCTCTCTCTCTATGTCTCCATCTCTGCTTCCATCTTTGGTGTTGCTGCTTCTCTGGATAAGGTCTCGCATTCCGCTGTGCTCTTCTCCCTTGATGATCTTAGGGTCCTTTGTTTCTGGACTGTAAGATTAACCACTCCCCAGTTTTTGTTACAAAACTTCCACCTTTACATTTGTGACAATTGCAGTTAGTCATGATAACAATTACTATAGAATCATAAGAATCTTATCCCCATCTCTTTTCACCAGACTAGACAAGATAAAAACTATTCACTGGTGACTCTTTATTCCCCCATACACTCTTAAACTAAACTCCCCCTTGAAACCTAGTAAGCTAGTCACTTTGTACTTTATCACTCCCTCATTTTAGGTAGCCAGTGTCTAAGTTGTCCATCCCTATCTAACCTGTGTATAGAGGGGATAGCATTGGTACTTGATGTGAAGACTCCTTCCCTCTATTAGTATTGAGAGTTACTACGAGTATAGGGCAAGTTCATCAAATTGTACCAATTTACCCTTGTTTCCTTTATCAAAAATTGTTTTGTTCTTCTTTTTTAATCCTCTAGTCGAGTTCTGATTATCAAGCCATCGAGGCTAGTTAGGTCAAATGGGTACTATCTACAAGTTTGGGTGTTCTTGTGTGTCTCCTCTCACTTCATATCAGCTGGATGCTTCACTCTCAGCTCTAGCCCTCTGTGACTTTGTCCCTGTTCAAAGACTCAGGGATCTCCAGGTCTTACCACTCTTTGGACTGACCAGTTCTTCTTCTTCACTCTCTCATTTCCAGGTAACGGAAATCTGTGGAGCATGGTTGAATTCAGCCCATTTTTTCCATTGATGCCTTTCTCCCTTTTCCACTCACCAGTAGACCAACGTGGCCATCAGCAAGCTTGCATGCCTGCTCATGTGTTCCCTTTGAGTTTCAATCTTAGAGTGGGGTTTGTCTTGAAGGAGCTTGATTTCTTGCCTTGATGGCTTCCCAACGAACAGCTTGCTTATTCTACTGCCAGTCATACTGCCATTTTTGTTTTGGATTTTTCCTGATGATCTTTCTTTGAAGATATATCTTCTGTCACTCTAGCTGTTCCAGGCTGGTCTGCTTGTCCTTTCTAGTGTGAATGTCCTACCTCAGAAGGTTCTTTATAGGACTCAGGATTCCACCTAAGGTACTATATACTGTAAAGGCTCTGCAGGTCTGTTTCACTGTGCAAGTGCTGGAACCCCTTTTAGGTATTCTAGTTAGTTATAGGCTGAAGACAGGCTTACAAGCTTTCTTTAATCAGGTTTCCTGACTTTCATTTCTATTCAACTCAAGTGTCCATTTTACAATAGTAGGCAAGGGAAACCAATATTTATAAGACAGTCAAACATCTTAGTATCACTCCCCTTCTTTAAATTATGCCTTGATCTTTGTATCACAGAGCCTTGTTGTTCCAAGGTTGAGCATGCATCACTATTTACATCTGTCCCATTTATCCCATGCAAACCTGTCTCAATGGTTCCCTATCAACCTTATTTTTCCATCACCTCCCTTCCCAATACCCGAACTATGATTTTTCTGCCCTCTACCCTGTGTTCAACTGACGCCTCCCTCTACCTCTCCCAAATCCCCCCACCCCAACCCCACTGGTAACCTGCAAATAATTTTTTTTTCCCTTTTAATATGGGTATCTTTTCTTAAGCTTTTACAGTAAAAGTCTTATGCAATATTTGTCCTTTTGTGACTGATTAATATCACCACCAGTCATCTGTCAGTTTGTCGTATTGTGGTGGCTTATGAGTTGCTGTGATTCTGAAAGTTATGCCACCGGTATTTTAAATACCAGCAGGATCACCCATGGTAGTCAAGTTTCAGATGAGCTTCCAGATGAAGACAGA